GGGTAGACCCTGGTCTACCTGTGAGCCAGAACTGGCTGTCAGCCCTGATTCAGTGCCTGGGATGGATGTGGTAGGGCCCCATCCAGCCATGTAGAGAGGGGAAAAGGAGAATAGCTTAGCCCCAATTCAACTGCATGGGGAATAGATGTGGTGGTGGGGTGGCCTGATTTTAAGAATCAGCAGCCAATCCTCAATTGTGGGCAGAGTGCAATATCCCCAAAATGAGCAAATCACAACATATCCTATTGGTTATCTTGGAGACCTTGATTGATGCACAGTAGCAGCATATGATAATTAGGAAGCAAGCAAAGGCTCTCACCATACACTGTGCCCCAGAGACACGCACAAGATGACCCATGTCTGGCCAGCACATGATTGTCTTCTGCTGAACTCCTGCTTCAGTTTGCGGTGGTCTCCTCTGGAAGAAGTTGCTGAGTAATGAACACACCCTGTCTTTATTCCTCTTCATTATTACACCTTTAGGCCATTCATTATGTACCTAGCTGGTGCTCATTCAGTGGTAATCCAGTCCAATGTACCTCATCCAGCAAATGGGGGGTACTGTCTACATGTGTTTCATAAACTAGGTGTCTGGTAATAAGTGGCCATATAGGGATGGAAAGATTCCAACTAACTGGAACTTTCAGGTATCAGGACAAGTTTATTTTTCTTTCAGCTGTGCTCTTATCTTTTGACTACATGGGAGATGAGGCCACTTCTCTCCAAAGTTTGTTAGACATTCTACTCCCCGCAGAAAAACCCATCTCTCTCTAGAATGTGTGAGAACTGCTCCTGTGCTAGGCCATGAGAGCCTGATTTTGTATTCTAGCCCACGAGTTAGCCATATGTATATTGACTAATAAAGCAATAAGTACTAAAATTCTAAAAAAAAGAGTTGGGGTGGGGGGGAGAAGAAAGGGGAATATGGGAATCTGGCAACAAGGGAGGGTGGTGGTATTAATGACCCCAGCTCCCCCACCAACAAATTTCAACTTATAGGGAGCCCTACTGGCCAGATGCAATGGTTTCCTGAGCTGAAGTTGGCCCATGGGGTGGAAGTTGAGTACCTTGCCCTACAGGAATCTTTTGCCTACACTTTCACAGCTGGATGCCCTTTACCTGGGCAGGCATAGTCAGTCTCTAGCAAGCAAGGCCAAGACCAGGCTGGCAACACTCAAGGTCAGAAGTCTTATCTAGAGATATCCCAAGCAGGAAGGTATACTAGCAGCAATAGTTCAGGCAGTTTGTTAGTGCCCTCCCAGCTAGTGCCATGCTGCTTTTGAGTCCTTCAAAACTTACTTTGATACAGCCAGATAACACACCTGTTCTGCTTGGGCAGGGACAAAGGAACCATGCTTAAGTTCATTTGCTGGGTCTTGGTTTCACTAATACATGGCCTGCCGTGTTGCTGCCTATGATAGGTACCCTTCCTTACAACAGAGAATCAGCAATGTAACAGCTCACTATTCCAAACATGGTGGCTAAGATAGCAACAAAGCCCACACCGGATAGAGCCTAAACTAGACAAACTATTATAAACCTACACCAGAGAGTAGGTAAGACTTCCCTCTTCTCCCAAGGGAGATTTTTTTTTTTTTTTTCCAGCTCCCTTATTGCTAGCTTGTTTGCTCATTTCTGTCACTCTCCAAAAAGGGAGTATTGACATGCCTGACAAATTAAGTGTCATTCAACTCTGTATTGAATCTAGTAGACATTCAGCTATTGCTATTTAGTTCTGTAAGGGTAGAGAACAAGTAAGTTCATTTATATTACAAGAAGAGGGTATATTTATCTGCAGAAGAGCCAACTTAAGGTTTTAACAATTTTTATTTAGATATACATTTCTTCTGGGAATGGCTGTCACTGCCTCATTCTGCACAGGAGTTAGAAAAAGTTTCCTTTTCAGCATCAGAAGCATTCTGATCTACCCTATAAATGCATCTAACCCTTGTCAGGAATTGGATGCATACAGAAACGTTGTATGTGTGACCAAGCCTACATGTGATTTCACAACCATGAACAAGTGAATGTCATGGCAAGAAGGAGTTCTAGACTCATTGAATTGTGCAGATTTTCTACTTTTCCAATATCCCTTCAGGCCACAATCAACATCCTACAGGGTACAGAACTCACTCCTCATGTGCTTTGCAAGGAACCAGACCTTCCTAATTTATTACCAGAAAGTCACTAAGGATTTTGCCTAGTCCTTCACCTCATCATCTTCTACATGCTCTCCAGCTGGAGTAAAGGGTCCTACAAGCCAGGTGAGGGGTATGTTATGCACCATGTACTCTAGAAGCTCATCTAGAGACCGCCGTATGGCAGCCACTTTCTCTCTGCTCTGGGAGAAGAGACTGGTAGAAAGATCCTGGAAAGAAGTAGCAGTGGAGAAAGCAGCATTCAGGTCTTCAATGTTGCCTTTGATCTGTTGTATCTGGTTGCAAATACTGGCTGGGAAGCCCTGGATGTTGGACATTAGGGTAAGGGAGGTGGCCTTTAAGTGCTGGATAACTCTGCAGGCTGCAGTCAGAGCTTGAGATTCAATCATCTGTGGAAAGACAAATTGGTAGATTGGAAATGAAGGTAACAGGAATCTTTCTAGTTTCAGTACCCTGTAGTTAGGAGTGTATGAAAATGCACAGCCTCCCTAGGAGCTCTTCAATAAAAACCTAGCTCTGTACTTTTATTGCTAGATGTCCTTCGTAGAGGAAGAATTAGGTGTTACTTGGGACAAATGCCCAGTCTCCTTGGACTATTTTAGTGTTCCTCTGGTTGTGCAGGTATGTTGTCCTCACTCATTCCTGGCTGTTTCTTGAGCCAGGCCAGCCACATCTGGTTCATCTTGTCATGGCCATTTTGAAGCTTCTGGTCCACAGCCTGCTTAACACAATCCATCTGGGGGGGGAGGAGAACAACAGAGGAATTGAGCTACTTGAGGGTCTGACTTCAGCCTTAGCAAGTTCTATGGCCCAAAGCACACTGAATGGATTTAGACCATGCCAGACCCGCCACAGTAAAGCCTGCCAAACATCAAATCGCCACCACCCCCACAACAGCTACACCCCACAATAGAAGTTGTCACCATTCCTGGATTTTACACCTGCACCTCCAGGAATGTAATCTCTCTCCTCCAGTGCACCAAATACCCAAATGGAAAATTATGTAGGAGAAACCAAGTGACTTTCATTCTGGTTCATAATTTATTTTTTATTTTGTTTAAAAACAAAAAAAAAGTTGATAGCAGTCTTACAAAGTTAGCTGTGAAGCCAGAGTGTTTGAGCAGATGCTATCTACCCTGCCCAAGCAGGGAAAGGAGAAAGAAGAAGAAAAAAAAAAAAGTTACACCTGGGAAGAGGTAGCCACTCCAGGCAAGCAGTTAAGAGAAAGCATGCATTCAGTGACAAGCATCTGTTTTCTCCTACCAGGTCAATAGTTTGCTGAAGCTGAGACAGGGCTTCCTGGGTGCTTTGTGCACATAGTTTCAGCTTGCCCAGTGTGTTCAGATAGGCACGATGGTGGAGTTTGGTTGAAAGAGCACCCAGACGCATGTAGCAACTCTTCTGCTGTTTTTGCTCTTCAATGGAAGCCATCTCAAACCCCTCCAGTGATGATGCAAGCTTCACTGAAAAAAACAAAACAATACAATAAGAACAAATTTTTAGCTGGGGATAAATAGAAGGCCACAAATGTAATCCATGTGCAAAGTTTACATCTGGTGCTGAAATTTTTTTTCTGGGCTGCATTTCCGGTTGAGTACCCATGGATTTCACTGGCATGCTCCAAAGGCTAAATTACCTTTAACTGAAGTCAAATTTAGATCAAGTAGGTTACAGGTAGGGACAGGGATTAGGATTTCATTAAGTGACCAGATCAAAATGGATCACACTAGGAGAATCAAAAGCTGGTACTTAAGATTAGATGTATAGTTCCTCTTTTTTGGGTGTCTGGTTGATTCCTCCCCCCCAACCCTCAACACCTCCAACACTTCACTTGGTTCCACAGAATACCTAACCTGTGGTTGCAGTAGCCCTTATTTCCAGCTAGAACCCCCCCCCAAAAAGCCTGCAAGAACAAGCTTAGTTTATGATAAACACAAAACAAAACCCAACAACTTATTCGATCTATTTGTTTTTGCTAGCTTACCAAGTTATTTTATGGAAAATTAGTTTGGATTTTGCTTAACCAGAGCATCTTCTCTACAAGAGAAAAAACCAACTAGCCAAACCCAACCAATCCCTTTACCAGATCTAGTAGAAGCCATTGTCATTTTGTTCATGCCTTGAAGTTACACAATTTGCAAGTTAACAAGTTACTCTGCAACTGGACTGTCCCAAGGCTAATAGGTAGGTTGAACAGCAGGCCCAGAGTACTGCCTTGATTGGCAAGTGCCCTACTCTGAGGGTCCTCTTCTCCACTACTACTTTTAAAACCAGGAGTACCCAACTTATCTTGTGCTGGATCTGAACCATAAGCCTCCTTGCAGGCCAGGTCTGTAGGCTGGCCACTTGCTCTAAAAAAAGAGGCAATGCAAGCAGCAGAGCAAGTTGTGTTGGTACAGCCCTTGCTCATGTCCAATAATGTCTCCAGGGTCCCAGATTCTGTGCCAGACCCCACCCTTCACTAGCCCACCAGCAGGTTAGGAGGGGTGGCTCCATTGGCTATACATTTGACACCCCCAATTAAGCCATATTTTGTGGCAGAGGTATTCAATGGTGGCCTCCATTGACAAGTGTCAAAGATCACACCAGGCTTTTTAAAAAACACACAAACCTCAGAGATTAAACTGAGCAGCTCCAGAAATTTGAGGGCATTCATCTTCTTAGTATGGCAGCGCAGTACTCCAAGCATACTGACCTAGTTCCTCATCTGTGATCGGCAGGTAGTAGTCCACCAGCTCCTCAGATTTCTCCAGCAGTGCATCAATACCACATGCAACTTTGTGTGCCACACTTGATTCCATTATTTTATCAATGCCACTAGCCACCGTAGATTTTGTGGCATCCATACTACTTTGCACAGCATCTTTAGCCATGTCCATCATTCCAGTGACTGTATCTTTTGCTTCTGTTACTGTGGAAACAACTAGCTCCTCACCATTTGAGGTCACCTAGGAAGGAGGACAAGGGAAGTCCTAGAGAAAAAGAAAAAATTAAAGTTTTAATGGGTGCACACACCTGCATTGGAATCCCAAAGCTGAATTTGCTACCCACATTTCATTCAACCCTTTCATTTGAGCAGCTTATTACTCCAACATATCATGTTGCAATGTGCCCATTTAAGTCTACTCTTACAGAGAGCCCTTAGACAGGAGGATTGACTACTTGGAGCACAGCATGTGTGGCAGGTGCCAAAGGGGCTACTGCAGGCTGCTGTCCAGTAGTTCCCCCCAAGAATTAATCAATTACCTGGGCAGCTGGCTGTTGAAGAATCGGCAGTTTCTTCTTAAGCTTGTCCAAGCTCTTGTGGGCATATTCATCTGCTGCTGCAACTGTACAGAAAAAAAGGTGTCAGATTTAATCTCTTAGAACCCATTGCTGTTTTCTTCAGTGCCAAATCTTACTTGGAAGTAGGACAAGAGTTAAAATAAAAAAGCCTGCTCATACATGCACACATTTCTGTTTTCATTTGGGGGTCAGTTTCTTCTGTGTTTAGGTACATTCTGTCCCCTTGGAAGGTTGTGGGGGGGGAGGGGGGAAGACATCTCTCTTCAGGAGATGTTCAGGTAGTTCTGTGGGGCCACTGATAATAATTGGACAGGGAAGTTGTCAGGGAACAAGAGGAATGGGTCATGGAGTCTAGGGATCCAGGGGCTCACCAGCTTTGAATCCATGACTGAGCTGGTTTCAGGGGGTGCTCCAAGAGACTGTAGGGGCAGGGGATGCAGGGGAGGAAGAGAATCCCCCAGCAGGCACTCCCCTGTGAAGCTTGACAGCATTGGACCGAATGAATTGGAAGGGTGGAAGGGATCAAGCGTCCTTTAGCCCAAACAGGGTCCTTTGTTTTACTTGAAGGTGCAGTGCTAACATATACACATTAGTTTCACATGCTTTTCTAGCTTCAGTCAGGGAAAGGAAGCCATCATTATACACTATAAATGAAAGTCTCCTGTAGCCTGCATCGATTTACTCACCATGAGGTTCAAGTTTGGTCAAAATTGGTTGCACGGTACCAGCTGCGGCAATGGCAATTGTCTTCACTCCAGTCTCTGCAGCATCACATACCAACTTGACGATTGGATGGTTCTCTTTGGTAGCAGTGTATGCATCAGAGACCTTGTCATAAGTTGAGCTGACCAATGGTAAGCTTGTCACTATGCTTACTACACTCTGGAGAAGGTGGTGGTGGTGGGGGGGATAGATTTAGAACCCATCAGGTTTGAGTAGTTTTCATGTTATATTTTCTACACCAGACAATTCCTTAAGGCTTTTACATAAGATCTTTCCATTTGTATCCCTGCATGATGGTCAGAAGCATTCTACTACCAAACCATGCACTTTAATGATAATCAAGTCCCCCCTCACCCCATTCATTGGTGTTGAAAGTCTGCCCCTTTAAGAGATATTCTTTTGGATTAAGAGACATGCATGGCTGTCCTAGTGATCTTTTTAGTATTTTTTTTTTCTTAAAGGCTGGAAAAAAAGTGTCAGGAAGTCATTTTTGGATTTAAAGTGAGTTTTTAGCTACACCTGCAGGCAATGTTGAACCTTGCTTTCACTATTTATTACTAGCAATATTGTGATGTGCACTTCAGCCAACTGTATGCAAGCCAAAATATTTTCACTTAAGTCAAGAAGTCTTACATAATTGATCAGCTTGTTCCCCAACTCAATTAGCTTTGAGGCCCCCCAACAAGCTATTAACTTGTAAATTCCAGCACAGCTATTGGAGGAAGCACCAATATACTCTTTCAGAGAGCCATCCAGACAGATGCTGGTTTCAGCCCAGTTGGCCTCCACTTTGATCAACAAGTCTGCTATACCTACCTGATGCTCCTCATTAGTGGTCTTGCAGGAAGCAACAGTCATTTTGTTTTGGTCAGAAGACATGATGAAGGCAGATGCTACTGAAAGAAAGGAAAGAGGCAAGGTGAATCAGTTCCATTTCCCTGAACTGTTCTTTGCCATGTCAGACTCTGAACTACAGAGTAATAGGATGATTGCCATCTCTGGATTCTCTCCACCTGGTCAATGTTTGCTGAACAAACCATTAGGAAGCAGCTAGTGATAAAAATGCATGAGTATGTAAGAGAACATCCTCTACCAGGAAAGGATATCATCACCATCAGATTTCTGGAAAGATATTCATGCATTTGATGTCTTTGACACATGATCCCTCATGTCCAAGTCCAGCAAACTACCTGGTTTTTTCAAGTTCAGTCCTTTCAATCAAGGATATGCCTATGCTAATGCCTTAAGTGGTTAACTGCACCAATTCCAGTCTTCTTGTCTGGCAAAGACTGCTCTCAAGAGATATCTTGTTAGAGAGACATCCCACACATGTGTAGCCTAGGGTGCTACAGCAACAAAGGCTCCTCAGAAGAGCAGCTTTGCTTAATCATATTAGATCAGCATCTCTGCCTGCACTTAGCAGAATAAGGAGCTAGGTACACACATTAAGTAGAACTGTATCAAATTATTCAAGACACGCTTATGCTGCTTCTAGTTATGGCACAGTATGCTTCTTGTTGGAGGTCTGAAGATTAAGATAGCATGGAACAATTCCTCCTATTTCATAGGTCACCTTTTGGTCTTCCTTCCAACATGCATTATTTTCCTTGACTATTTTAAAAAAAAATTAAGTCACAAAAGAGACACCAAGCTTGGACTAGACCTTAGAGACTTGAGTAGCTCTTTTCTGGCCAAGAATCCAAGAACACCAGATGGGTTGTTCCAAGTTGACATGCCATTGTATGGCCCTCTAAGACACTAACTGCTGAAGTTACCGTCTGAAGCATGATGGATGTGTACCCCCTTTGTTATTATCATGCTTGTTTTTTCAGCACAGTAGTAACAAGCATATTGCAACAAGTTTCACAGGCAGGTTATTAGCCTTCTTTTTAAGAAAGCAGGAAGACATTTTATTTTTGTTAGTCAATCCCACCAGATCATATTTTTAAATAATTATAGTGTCCAGATACCATGGAAACCAAATTATTTCTCTTCCTATTAAGGCTCTAGGATAAATCTAAAAGTGATCAGTATTTGAGATCATCTTGTAACAGGAGAACTAGGGTAATTGATTTTTCTTGGTTTGCTGGCCAAACACTGTTCAGGTCAATCAAAAGCAAAGTAATCTTAGGTTTGACTTACTGAAACAGAAAGACCATTTTTAAATTTTTGTTTAGCCTCGAAGTCATGAATTTGAACAATTAAAAAAAGTCATTATAACAGAACTTAAGCACCCCCATTTTTGACATACCTGCTTTTTTGGTGAACAAAGGCTTGCCTAGAAGACATAGTTTCCAACATGAACAGGTGTTTTATTTCTTCTTACATATTTTGTAGTTCATGATAGCCTTTCAAGGCAACATTTTATTAGCAGAAGTTTGTTTTACATTAACTGGCCAATTAGATAGATTGAGCTTATTATTGATTTATTTTTAAACTAATGTAAGAAAACACCATTTGTAACATGGGGGAAAAAGATAGCAAAAGCAATTACACATTTTCTATTTTTCATCCCCAAACACCATGCTTAACATCAACCCTCTCACCTCAGTTTCCTTTAACTTCTACACACTGTAGTATAGAAGGGACTAGTTCCATTGGCCCTTATATGAGGCAGGTGAAATTATCACAGGTGTGGCAAATTGGACAGAAAACCATATAGCAAGTTCACTCTTCACCTTTACCTAGGATGTGCTAGAGTTTAACCATTGTCCCTTCTTTTTCTTCTTTGACCCTACTGCAATTTAGTCTCTTCTAGCCCAGTTTGATGATTTTTTGCTGTCATATTCAGCCTGGAGAAGAATAAGATTCAGGAGCTTAAACGTACTGGAACATACAGAAAAGTCTAGTGTTTTCTACCTGCTGTGTGGTCTATGTTCTTATAGGATTTTGGGTAAGGTGACTTTATCACAAGTAAAGCAAAGGATCAAAGTAAAGTAAGGTGATCCAAATAAGGATGGCAATTTTGCAAAATGTGTTTGTGGCTACAGTTTAACTCAAAGCAGCTTGAAACAGGATGTTGTTAAGTGGAAAAAAAAGTATTCCTTTTCTCACCAACTAAGGTTTCTCCAAGAGTAAACCAGGAAAATTTTACCTGTATGCTTTGCCTGTTATATCTTCTTAGGGCCAGGACACCCAATAGGCAATACAGTATTTAGTGGAAAGGGATCTCAAAGCACTGAGACATAGCATAGCACAGAAATGTAGATTGGTAATGTGGTGGTACTAAAACCTAATACTCAGAGTCAAGAAAGCTGAAAACTTCTTGAAGGTGTCTTTATAGATAAGAAAAGAAATCTGTTGGGAACCATAACCAATGGACAAGTATATGAAGCAGCTACTGTTGTGACAATCTTCTAGTCTGTATACTTGCCATGCAGCCCCCATGAACCAGATTGATAGAATACTGCAAGCGTGGTGATAGGATTGTTCTCAGAAGAGGTAACTGCTAAACTTTCTCACCTAACCTGGCTTGCATTTATCTAGGTTGAGTCAGTAAAGAGTTTATTAGAAAATCTGGGAGGTACAGCCAGCCAAAAGTTATTAGTCAGTCAGGACCACCTGCCTCATAAATGACTGGGCAGGTGGAGTGGTTTAGACTTTACTTGGATAGTGAATGCAGTCCTAGGTTTGGGAAGAAAATGTGCCTATTTTAGAAAGAATGAGGTTGTTTATTTTGAGTAGCTTTTGTAATATGAAGGGGAGAAATTACCTTCATTGCTTGCTTTGTTCCTGCACATCTGAGAGAAGATACAATATGGCTTCTAGCTTTCGTTCCTGTGTTTTTTGAATGTCATGATGGATAGTATGCCTTGATTACTTCTATCTTTATTTTATTTTATTTTTTTTACCCTTTAAAATGTGAGACTGCTTCTTCCCCACACATTTCTTGCTCTCAGAGTTATGGAGAAAATATTGAAAAGGCAGCTCATGAGAGCTCACAGGCTGAAGAAACATTTGGAGGTTCTCTTTATTTATCAAGATTAAAGATTGTTAGGTTTAAAAAAAAATCAGAAGTTCTTGAGCTCTGACATGATTTTTTTTTTTTTTTTTGTGTGTAGTGTTGTCAACAGTTAATTTTTTAAATGGATTTCACTTTAAATAAAAATATTCTTGGTGGCAAATCCTAGGATAATCTGTACTGTAACTGTTTCAAGGGATAGTCTGGGAGAAACCGATAAGAGCTGAAAGGGAGTAGTAAAAAGTATTTTCCATTTCACATGCTGACCTCAGAAAAGCACTTGTATTAGCTATCTGAAAAAAGCTTCTGGGCACAAATGTTCAACCAGTATGTATCTCTGAACTAAATTGAACTTTTCCAGTGATCTGTTCATAAGGCACTGCATTGGCAGAGAAGAGGCTTAAGTAAATTTCTGGGGCTTGTATGTCATCTTACTTATACTAGCTGTGCACATTTTGATTTATATCAAATTAAGCAACAAATGCATCGAGCACCTGGACTTGGCTTTATGTCTGAGTCAGCATTACTTAGCCCCTTGTAATACTATTGGGATAAGTGGCAAAACCTGCACCTGCAATGTTGTACATGATTCTATGTTCCCACAAAAGCAGGTGTGAGTTTTATTGTACTACTTCCCTTTCTTTTATCTGAGGATGGATTGTCATTCATCCTTCATCTCTGTCTGTCCAAGGTGGCTCCATGATTTACATGCTTTACATCTTCTCTGTCACAAAACAGCTAACATTTAAAAAAAAAAAAAAAAAAAAAAAAAAAAAAAAGTATTCAACAGTCAGTTGGTGATCAGTAAGTTGTGAAGCTAAGATGAAGAGAGACCCTTGTAGCAGAGCCTGTATAACAAGGAGACTGGATGGCTTTAGCATAAGGGGTGGAGAGCATTTACACTTCCCTCTACACTGCTGTGACACTAGTGTTGTAACCAGCAGAAGAGGTCCTCCTATTGTGGTATTTAGCAGGGAAAATTACTGTGACATCAGTTGTAGTGGACCAACCCAAGTCCAGTGTCTGAAAAAGCAGAGGGGGGGGTGGGAAGCTGCGTGTCTCCCAAATGGGGGGTGGGAAGCTGCGTGTCCCTAAGAGAGCATCCCTAGATACCTCCTTCATTTGTTTAGGACAGGCAAGAATTGCTAGTTCCATATATACCCTCTTCCATAAGGAAGTTTTAACCATTCCAACTATATGGGTATTACTTTCAAGGAAGGCAATTGAATATAATTTGGGAAGTGCAAGTAGAAGTGCATCTAACATGCTTTGCCAAAAATCCATTTTTTTTTATAAATAGGAGAGAATAAAATAAAATCACCATGTTTTGAATGCCCTTATGCTACATATGATGTTCAAGTTATTTTATTTAGCAAAAATATTTTCCTGTTGCAGGGGATAATGTGTGAACAGGTTAAGGCAGGCTGGTGTGAACTGTCTTGCAGGAATACATAGTGGTCAAAATTGGTGGTGTTGAATGAAAACCAACACACTGTTTTTTTTTGTTGTTTTTTTTTAAAATCTGACTGCATTTTCCTTTTACCCTCAGGAATCTGGAGGAGTTCAGAATCAAACAGTGATATTTTTTTTTTTTTTTCAGTCCTGACCTATCTGACATCTTTTACAAACCTCTCATTGTTAGTATGACATTTGGAGAATGACTGACTATAAGCAGCTTATGAATTGTTTGATGTTTCTTACTCTGTATGTGTGTCAGATTGCAAGCTCTAGTTTGATTGCAGAGCTTATCTTCTGCCTCCTTTGGCTTTTGGGGAGGGAGGGGTTATCTGTTGTATTTTTTGGTTTTGGTTTTTGTTTAGTGTTACTTGCATGTTGGATTACATTTCCTGAGAATGGTGACATAGGGCCATCAAAACACAGTTGTTATATCAGACCTTGATAGTCCTCTATTCATATGGAAGCTCTCTTGGACAAAAAATTAGCTTGGGCTAATCAGGAGTAGTGGTCAGAGATCAGGATTGGTAGTATCAGGAGTAGTGGTCAGAGATCTAGTGAGGGGGCATACTATTATTTTCAAGGAGGGCAATTGAATATAATTTGCAAAGTGCATTTAAAAAAAAAAAAGGGCATCTAACACTAGTACAGGACTGGGATATGGGTAATTTCCTTGCTGAGCCCCAAGTCAAGAGGCTGTTAGAGGACAGGGGTCTGGAATTGAGAACAGACAGGCAGGAATCTGGATTAAGGCAGGAAGCAGGATTCAGGGCAGAGAAAACCAGGAACAAACAAGCAGAACTAAGTAAACTAAAGAGTCACAAGCCTAAGACTAGACTGGAAGAGCTCTACCTTGTTGATTAGCTTGTGAGAGACTAAAAGGGCTGCTGTAACTGGGGCAGGTGGAGAGAATTAGGCCACTAGCAACCAGGCCACCTTGGGTAAGTAGGGGCAGCTGGCCTTTGACAGAAGGACAGATGGACTCATTCACTCCTCGTTTTGCAGAAGAAGCCAAGTGCAGATGGGTTGATGAGAGACCTCTCTGATCTAAGTCCCCCAAATACTTAAAAATACTTAGAAGTCTATGCAAGGAAATTGAGGTAGGCACTTACTGTTTTGTTTAGATGGTTATTGTTCTTGTATTGGTTAAAATAAAGAAAATTCTTGTTTCTTGAACCCATTTGAAACTTGGTTGCCTGCCTACTTCAGGAATCCCACATCTCTGAGATTAATTGTACCACTGGAATGCCCATGAGGCCAGAGCTCTGAAAATGCCTGTTTCTATGCCACTAGAGCATCTGTGGGATCAGAGCTAGCCCTGTGGTCCTAACAAAACTGAGGTGTGAGATCCTATATCTATGAAGGGACAACACAAAGAGCTTGTGCTGAGGAAGTGTGTTGGAGAAGCTAAGGAAAGGGACAGTACTATAATTTACTCAGTGAATGGGATGCTTGCAGACATGTGGATCTAGTGTGCTGATGATCCAAACGTGGTAACCTTTTTAGTGGCCAGGATACGGGAAGCTCTAGCAGGGCTGTGGCAGCTAGTGGAAATAGCAGACTTGGACTGTCCATGACAAAATGTTGTCGTAATGTTTTCATGCTCCTG